CAGGCCATCAAATAAGCCACAATCTTGTTCTGGGTCAAGTGGTGATTAAATCCCAGCAGATGAGCCTCTGCATACATTTTAGGGGAGATTTTCTGCTCTTCCAGTTCAGTAACAAATGTTGGTAATAAAAGTACAGAGGGAGCACACAGTACACCTTTGTGGCACAGGATAATTTGTCTGCAAGATTAGGACAAGGTAAGATGATTTACGCTACAGCTTGCTAACAAGATTGTACCTGTTTTGTTGCCTCCTATTTTAGCTGAGCTAAACTTTTCTTATCACACATTTGATAATGAACGTTATGTATTTCGTAATTTCTAGTTCAACATTTGAAGCACTTGGACTGATTGAACTTTAAGCAGATAATAGAAAAGCCATACATATATACCAATATAGGTGTGTTATATAAGTATGATCAGTTTTGAAAGTATGGCTGCACAATATTAGAAATACTTGATGTTGTGTTACTGATACGATACTGTGTTGAGGGTTTTGATTGCAATTGACCCATATTTTCAACTGATGATTCTATCACTCTTATACTTTCACATGTCAGTCACTAACAACATTATCATTATTAGATAAAGGACTAATACAGCTGATTCTCATCTGCATAACATTGATAAAAGACATTGTGTAATTTATTATTGCCTTGTCCAGTGGAGTCTATGCATAGAAAAAAACAGTCCCTAGGGTTTTCCATACGTATTATAATGCAGGACCTAAAACCAGTGGGCTTTCCAACCAAATGAAAACATGTTGTGAGCACAAAGTGAAAAGAGAGGGTGGGGCAGATACCTTGAGAGCACACTTGAGAGGAGTTAGGCTTTTAGTCGGCCCATTTGGTTTCAACTGAAGAAGATTAAACAGCTAAAGAACAAGTGGGAAGAAAAAAAAAGTTTTCTGCACAAACCAAAGATGCCTTCAATAAAGTTTTCTTTATCTTGAGGTAGATTCTGATGTCATAACCATAAAGCAGACACATATCTGTACCATGACATTGATTATATGACTTTTAGTTTTCACAGATTTGGAGGAACAGCAGGTATATTTTTTAAATTTACCTGCTAGATCTCATCATGTCAAATGTGTGATACTTGCATTGTAAGCTGCAATACATTTTAACTCAGCATTTGTTGCTTATTTATAAAAAGATAATTGTAGCTCTTGAGATCTTGTATTGTGACATAAAGTTTATGGATGAGATTACCTTTCTTCATTATGTCGCTGCTCACACTCAGATTTGTTATTGATTTAAGTCAATTTTATGCTCATGGTCACTTCACCCCACTAAATCAGCAACGATTTAAATCTGACAGCTTCTCTCGGGGCACAAACTGTTTTGTTAATATAAGTTATGAAGGCTGATGAAGGCTTCCTGTTTCTGTTGTTTTTGTGTGCGTGTGTCTGTGTTATGGTTCAAAATAAACAAGCGTATAAATCAATGAGAATAATGTGGAGCACATCTGTGTCCTGTCATACTCAAATGCCACGTTGTATTGAGAAATATCCCACATTTATCTGCTGTATCTGAGTGCAAATGAGAATCAAATGTTTTGTAAATTATCTCTGTCAGATGCAGGGTTGTTTTAATAGGATTTTAACTATCTTCCTGTAGTGAGCCACTTAATTGTAATCATGATTAACATTGTTGTGGCGCTGGGCCTTTAATGATGTGACTGATATTTGGCGACTTATCAGGTTTTTCTGGCATTTGCTGGCTCAGATTAACGTAAAAAGGGAAATGACCTTACAATTTTCCCAGCAGTTTGCTTTGACATTTTACCTGGAATGACAGAAACATCTCTCTTTTCCCCTGTGGACTTCCGGATCATATTTCTCCAAACTGTCCTGCCATTTTCAGATGGTGTATTTTAAAGGGCAAATCTCATGTTTTTCTTTCTTGTTAAACCAGTGTTTCCCAACCCTGGTCCTCAAGGCACATTGTCCTACAGGTTTTAGAAGTTTCCTTGCTTTAATGCGCCTGATTCAACTGATTGCAGTTCAGCAAACGCATGTTAATCAATTGCAATCAGCTGGACTGAAGCAAGGAAATACCTAAAACATGCAGGGCAGCATGCCTTGACTGCCAGGGTTGGGAAACACTGTGTTAAACCACATCTTTTCGCTGACAGTGTAAGCTTGTAGCGTGCATAAAACAAAATTATAGACAATTTCTTCATGTAACGCTTTCATATAAAAAAAAAACTGTTTTTTGTTTACAAGAAACACTAAGACATCTGGTTTTGGATTTATTCTTTATGCTTTTTTAAATGGCAATAACTGCCACGATATAAATCAGGCAAATTTTCACTTTATACTGTGATGGCTAAAACGGTACTTGAAACGATTGGCAAGCCCCAGCAAACCTCTTTCCTTGTCAATAAGTAAGCCAGTCAAAATAAGCAATAGATCAATTAACTGCATGATAAATTAGAATGAGCTCAATCATTTTAATTTGCATACATGTTTGTTTTCCTCCTGTCTGTATTTCCACCAGAGTGAATAACAAAAGGCTTCACTCTGGTACGTCTCTACTTACCCCTTTCTTTTTGTTTCTTTAGCTGGAGGATGAGATCAGTGATTAATATTTTTGAAGAGCAATTTTGTTGACATAGACTTCATAATGCATTTACTTTATTATTTTGGTTGTGTTTGGGGTTTTTTGCTCAGTTTCACTTATTATTTTTGGTTATTATTTTCATTAGTGCTGTTGGACATTTAAAATGCTCAAAGTGATCTGTAGAAATTACAGTTTTATTGATCTTTAAGGGGATCTACTTGTATTATTATGCTATAATTATATTAATTGAAAATTGTCTCAAAACAACAATGTTATTGTTTATCACAATAATTTCTGGGACAATTAATTGTCGAGCACCGAGGCTATATTTCTTTTAAAATGTAAAACCGCTAAAAATGATTTTATCTAAAAGTTTATTTAAAGGTACATTTTACTATTTTCTCAGGTCTTATGTTAAAGTCTGCCAAGCAAAGTTTGCCATTTTTAATAACTGATAGATGCACATGTTATATAGTAAGATCTGTATCTTACTATATAATCTTTTATGAAATAAGATTCAATGGCAGAGGGATTTGTACACCACTCTTTGGTTGTGTAGCATAGCTGTTTCCTTTATTTTAAATGTTTGACTGGAAAATTGTCAAAGAACTTTCCATTCATGAGGATAGTTTTTGACATTCGGCGTGCAGGGAAGAAAAGGGCATGGTGCGAAAAAAAAAAATCAAGCTTAAATGAATGAAGTGATGTAATCTACTGTGCCTTTGTGTATAAGGCTGCATGTACATGTCAAGTGTAGCCCTGCTGAGTCCCACTAGCATACTGACCTTTTACTCATTTGGTGGGAAGACACAGGGGGTCTTAATTAGTTTCACAATAACAGGCCTCAAAAACCTGCTCAGCCAGAAGGTTGCACATAACCCACAGCAGACTTACAGCACATGCTCAGTGGCTCTACATTACAGTGTTTATAAAAGGTCACCTGGCTGTGCTGTTATGACCTACATATTAAAGTCCTCTTTAAGTTTTTAGCAAATAATGGTACCAGAAAACAACTTGAGAATGTTGCAATAATAGTGGTTATCACACACCTTGTTCTTTCTTATTATGTTCTGATTCAATAAAAGAAAATGGAGAATACACAAACTTTAAGGCAGCAATAACTCCATCTGTTGGGCCATCCAGGTAGAAGAGCACAGCTCAACACAGAAGCATTGAGCACGTATAGTCAAAGGCAGCAATAGCCCTTGCATATCCCTGTAAAAAGAAACAGCTGCACTGAGCTAGGAATACTTTCTACTAGCAAGGGAAACAATAGAAAGTATTGTTTACATGAGTGTATACATGACTATTTCCACTATGAACTTTGTGAATGATGCCATCCAGGATTGAGAAACAGCTAAATGAAGAAGCACTTTCTATGACAAAGAGAGTATGTGTGGCTAATGGCAACCATGTCAGTGGCACCTTCCAAGAACGAGACTCTTATCAATACAGAGGCAATGATATAGAAAAACTTGGAGCACCCAAAGTTCATAGCAGGTGGTAGCCCTGTTAAGGGACACCGTTAAACACAAGTCCCTGATAAGAATACAGTCATAACAGAGAAGATTAGAACAAATATTACTTTTCTTGATTAACTTTAATACAGTTTTTATGAACTCATTTGATTTGGCAACATTTATGATCAAATAAACAATATTGTGTGGACTATAAATCAGTTTCAGTAAATCAATATCAGAAAATACAATCAGTATTGAATGAGGATTTTCATAAAAGGTATTGATGTGGCCTGAAAAATAATTACTTGACTGCAGTATTGCTGTCTTAGAGCACTAGACAGCTAGGAAAACATTATGTTGCATTCAAACAAACAATTATTGAGCATAGGCAAAGAAACATATTTTCATTTCAGTTTTTACAAACGTTTTTCTATAAATGCTATTCTTTTACATCTGCAAAATGTATTCATACAGATTAGTGCAAGTTCAGCTCTTTATGTAGGTGACCTGATTCAGGCTCATTAGAGTCTTCAGGATGAATCCACAGCGTCAAAAAGTTTGACGTCTGTCATGACACAACGGAAAGTGTTTCAGGTGGTAATGGCTCCCTGCTAGTTCAATATTTAATTTGCACAGCAGGTAACCTAAGCTGCCTCCCAGGGGTTGATGATGTGTGTCAGGATGGGCAACATAACCCACAAATCAATGTTCACTTTATTTCATTTTCTGGTTTATGTCTTTATTCACTTTTGCTGCCAGTAATATGCGTTATACTTTTCTGTTTTGATATTTGTGGGTTCTGCTCAATCTGTGTTTCAAAGTTAAAGCACATAAAATATATATTAAAACTTTATGTGCAAAGGTATTCTAGACAAATTTATTTATACATGGTTTCTTAGGAGAGCTTATATCTTAAATGAAGAATTTCTGAATGACAGGATTACATGCTGTGTGTGTGTGTGTGTGTGTCCCTACAGATGAAGACTGTGAGTGTTGCTCTGGTTCTGTGTCTCAATGTGGGAGTGGACCCCCCTGATGTGGTCAAGACATCCCCCTGTGCCAGGCTGGAGTGTTGGATAGGTCAGTATGTCTTCCCTATTAACAAACATATAAATGAAAAAGACAACAACTTTCCAGTAAAGACTGAAGTGCTCTTAACATATAAATTCAAATTTGAGACAGGTGAAGGTAACAAACATCTAAATGATAAGAAATGGGCCATTATCTTTGCAAGCATAAATCAAATGACATACAAAATAAACAAATTATTAAATAGCTCTGAAGAGTTGAATGCTCTACATTTTACTGCTTGTTGATGAAGTTAAAAACTGTTAAATGTCAACAAGTGACATTTAACAGCTTGACAGATCAGGGACGTCATATTCACCAATGCTGGGGAAAATGCTAGATCTCTATTGGCATGAATAGAGATCTAGCACTTTATCACTTCTAAATCTGTCCCATATCTTGTAATATTTTAATCTTAAGGATATTTTTGGAAAATAATACTAGAAAGAAACAGAAGCTATATTCTAAATTGTCCCATGAGGTGCATTGGCTGTGTGGTGAAGAAAAGTTTGATGGTTCAATCCTCAGGTGAGGCCGTTCCTCAAAGGAACTCTCCTCATACAGTCTCATCATCCATGGGCCTCTGCAGTCTTGAAAAACATGGGAAAGGATTAAACATGCTCTTATCATTTTCATATATGTGAAAGCTGTTTGACTTAAAGCCTTTTTACCTTCCTCTTTTTAGGAAAGGATGACAGTTTAATCGCACTAAATAAACACAGTGGTTTTCACATTGACTAACTTGGTCTGTATGCTTTATCTTTAATGTTCCAAATCACTATTTGAGTTTTACGTTTTAGTTATCAGTATTTTGAATCTTGTGTAGAAGATTCAAAGGTCTGCAGTCTACTGACTACAGACTCTTTGAAAAATCAGAAATGGGACTTTTACTTGTTTTGCCTCATAACAAATTTAAATTTATGATGAATTCATGATAATTTCTAAACAGTGTTATAAGCGCCAAACAAAACACTAAACCTGCTATTTTTCTGAGTTTTTATTAGCAAACTAGATTCTTCCAAAGGTTTTTAGATTTTGAAATAAAGGTGAGTTAGTCCATGATAAAATCATCGTCTGAAAAGCCAGTTTAAGCATTGGGTTGTTTCTATATTGTGAACCCTACAGATAATTAGATACTATTACTATTCTGTGAGGTTCAAGGTTAATATTTTCTATTGAAATACCCAGAATATTATAAAAAAAATTTTAAAAAAAACTGGAAAAAAAAATCAGACAAAGCAAAACACTAGATCTCTCATTTCTCCTACCTGGAAATGTTCAACCACTGTTTATCTCCCCTGAGAGTTGTATCGTATCAGAAGCACTGCTTCCTAAGTTAGACAAACTTTCTCTGCTTCCCCATTTATTGCTGTAGTTTGTATAAAAGTGTTTACTTATACTAGATGGTAAAAGCAACTACTATGCTCTAAAATGCTCTGCATTCTTCAACTCCCCCATGTGAAGGAACCGTATTTGAATAAATTAGCTTTGAAATGTTTTAATGTAAACATGTTTTTGTGAAAACTGCTTCAGAAACCATCACGTAATCATAGTGATGGTTTTTGAAGTACAGTACAGTTTTCAAAGACCCTAATATCAATTGCTAGTCTCTATAAATCTATGAATTATTTTGTAAAAATGTGTACAAAATGTATGTCTAAAATATGAATATGTCTACAAGTAACACTTGCAGAGCAAAACAAAAATGTACAAATCCTCGGAACTTATTTCCACTTTACAACATTCACTACAAGAAATTTAAATGCATTTTCTGGGCTAGGCCAACACAAACTAATATATCATTTTGTATTTTGCTATATTTTTATTTGTTTGTATTCACCCCTTTTACTCTCATACCCCTAACTAAAATCCAGCACAGCCAGTTACCTTCCAAAGTTATCTAATTAGTAAACACAGTGTGTGTAGCGTAATCCCAATTTAAATCCAGCATCATGGAGACCAAGAAACACACCAGGCAGTTTAAAGCAGGATTTAAACTGCATCAGGATGTGAGATGTTTAATCAGTTGTCTGACACAACATCAAAGACTTAATTAATGTTTTTTTTTCTTAGAGCAAAAACAAATTAATCTATCATATCTCTTAAGCATATTTGCGATTTAAACAGGGTCACTAATCGATGGTTTTCCACTTACTGAGAACATTTGAATGCATGGTTAACATTTATTCTTTTTCTCAGTGCCATATGTTGTGATATCCTGATGTTATTTTTAAAGCCCTCAATTTCATACTGCATTTTTTCCCTAGCATTCACAGTCTGAATGTGGAAGCCGTAATTATATCTGACTTGTCAACCTCTATTTTACTAGTATTTTCCTGTTTTTTTGTTGAGGTGTGACAGTTTTGTGCAGTTGGTCTGTGTGGGTGGGAGTCAGAGGTTGCAGTGTGGTTTCACCACGTTTGTTTTTCTTGTCAGATCCTCTGTCAATGAGCCCACAGAAAGCCCTGGAGACCATTGGGGCAAACTTGCAGAAGCAGTACGAAAACTGGCAGCCCAGGGTGAGTGCTAAAATGAAGCACAATAACTATCAGATAATTTTTTTGTCTCATATCATCTCCATTTCTCTAGTACTTTTACCTGAGTTCTTTTTTCTTGAGGAATTGCTCATCCCTTGGAGGTTTAATTCTTTCTGCCGTCTTTTAGAAACGTGAACCTGGTTTATGTTTTACTTTTAATGCTTCCTGCAATATTTTTTAATTCAGCTTTCTTGATAAACACCATGCAGTTGTTGTGATTGTGGCTTTCTACATAACACTTACAAAATACGAAGTATTATGGAACTAATGCGTTGAATATTGTGTTGCATTAAGTAGGATGAAAATACGTTGTCTTACCAATATGATGTATTCCACTAATAATACTGCCTCAAAATCTGCCATTAGTTAAACTTGACAAGGCTTGATTTGATTCAGAAAGCTTCAGTATCAAAACATCATCTTGTTGGGTGTGTTGCTGAAAGCTGTGGAGCTGCTAGAAATAGAACACGTGGCTGTTCGGTGTGATGGTTTAGAAGAAAATGTATAAAGTAAGAGGAGGTGGAGGAAGAACGACTCCAGAGATGGAGCCGCTAAAGAAATGTGAGCTCGGGTTTGGTTGATCCCAGAGGTCAGCAGCAAATGGTGGTAGGAGCCTGGGAGGAGGAGGAGGAGGAGTGGGAGGGTGAGAAAGCTGTTCCTGTTTCCAGCCTGAGGATTCAGAGCTCTGCAGCATCACGACAAAGAGCCGATTTCGCCAACACACCTTACATAAAGTGTTGACAAAGCAATCAATTATGCTGCAGTTATTACCTGCTTGTCACAGTGGGGGAAAAACATTTTTGTTGTACATGAGTTGAGTTGGTAAATATTATACCTGAGAGCAAATTAGCATCCATTATTTTGCACATTTTTGTGTACAGCCCATGGCGGTCTTTGGTAGCAGTGTTGTTTGCAGCAGCTGAACGGTTCAGAGTTTAGTTTTGCCAGCTCTGCTGTCACAAATCTATGTGTATGTTTGCTGCAGGGCTCGAACATTAACCCTTATGGCCAGCAAAACAGAAAGAAAAGCAATCTCCATCCCAGCTGCCCACTCACTTTTTCCACCAACACTTCCTCCCGCTCTTTCGTCCCTCTTTGTTGTTCGCTGACCTGTCTTTATCATCATTTTTTCGTCTACAACATACAAATGTTTTATTTTCAATGAAGGCTCTCTCGTGTCCATAACAACAAATATTTTTGTTTTTCTACTTTCTGCACCTATAAATTGTTTTAATCGGTTTATTTTTGTTGTTGTTGTTGTGATTCTTGGTTTCACAAGAGATAATTCAATTGAAATACTTAAATGACATCCATGTCTCTCAAAAGATAATGAATATATATAGGACTGGTATGATTAAAAAAAAACATTTTCTTAAAAAAAAAAAGGCAGATTGAAAATAATTTGTGACAGAAAAAAAAAAAAACATTATTGGCATTGCAGCACTTTCCATCTCTAACCTCAACAGCCGTGTTAGTGAGCAGTTAGCCAGGTAATAAAACACCAGCAGAGCTGAATGGCGCCACATGTGCCAAGATTGTGATTGGGCTGTCACTGACAGATGTGGTTGTGCTGCAGCTTTCACGACTGGTCATAGTAGAAGACACTTTCCATATGGAGATTCCTCACTCAGTTTTCAGATTACTGGGGTTACGCTGGTAACCAAATATCCTGATGGTTGCTTTTGATGCATTTAGTTTTAGGCAGATTTAATATGGATGGCATCTGTCCATCTGTCTCTTCATTCGGTCCAGAAAGAAACACTAACATCCAACTTTCTATTCACTCTGTGGGATCCCAGGTGATCCCACGCCGGGGAGGGGATTTAAAGCCCGCCTGGCAAGTTGTGGAGCTACTTCAGAGTGTCGTCCCAGTGGGGCGTTTCCAGAAAACCTTCAAATATGTACTAATCAAGACATTTCAATGGGCAGAGGGTTGGATTGGCCACCAGAGAACAGAGCTGCAGTGTCATCAGTAAGAGGCCTACTGATCCCATGGATGGAGATTACTTCAGCTTGTTTACGGGATCTTGTTCTTTTGGTTATGATCCATATCTCAGGACAAACTGGTAAATAAAGAGCTTTGCTTCTTATCTCAGCCCTTTCTTTATCACAGCAGACTTGAATTGATCTTGTATCGTTGCAGATGTGGCCCCTGTTTGTCTGTCTATCTCTTCCTCTGTCCTTCCATCATTTGTGATGAGACATGAAGACACTCCAGTATCTTGGATCAGACCCAGAACTAAATTGTTATTCATATGTTGTTCGTACTGATTCACATCATCTGCATTTGGGCTTCATTTATTCTTCTTTTCTGTTTTTTTAAATCACTTTTGTCTTTTATTTTGCTTTATTAAAATGAAGACTGTGCTGTCCAGAAAGCCATTGCAATATCTTAGCTTTCATTTTACTGTTGTGCATTCTACCTCAATCTGTCTCAGCTGCTTTCTCATTCTCTTTTAAACCTTGTTCACTTTCATATTATCTGTGCCTGTCACCCTTTTTTTTTTCCTTCTCAGATGTCTGTTATTTGTTTGGGAATCCTTTTTCAAACTCTTTCCTCCACAATTGTTAGTTGTTAGCTCTTAAGATAAAAAGCGACACGCTTGTCTTGTCAGATCGCCTTTTCAAAGCCAACTCAGTGTGCACAAATTGCTGAACATATTGCAGCTGCCAAACAGGTTTAATCGAAGTGTTGTTTTTTTTTTTTAGTATTTGTGGGGTGGGTGTATTCAGCTCTCCTGCCTGACTGCAGCCTGCAAACCCCTGCTGTCCTCTCAGCTAACGGCCTCTGCATTATGCATCGTCGGGCTGGGCTTCAAAGGCTTGGTCTTTCCTGATTTCTGAGCTTTTTCCATCACCAAAGAAAAAACAAATTGAGATCTGGTGTAAAATTTTGCTGTGGTTTAAGATGATGCAACAATGACAATACTTTTTAAAGGGCTTTACTGCCCATTTTCAGTTTAGAAAGTGAATATCGATTTTTTTTTTCTCTCTTCAGCATGGCATGAGTTTGAGGGTGGGATGCACTGTATGGAATCCTTCAGTTGATGAATCTTTATGTTTGCATTTGATTGTTTATGGTAAAGATACAGCTTACAAAGTGGAAATATGAAAATATTAATCTTTCTAGCAGTTTTACTTCTTAGCGTTTTTTCAATATAAATCCCGGTATTGAACTGTCTTTTTAGGATCTGGACAGATTACTGTCTAAGAGTATTATATGCAAGAAACCCAACCGAAAAAGAGATATTAAAACTGCTTTGTTGCACAACATTGACCATCATTCTTGTATTTTCCAGATGCAGCTTTACTCAACCCATCAGTTTTCTGCTAAAGGTTTACAGTGAAAACTGAAATCTATACATAATAATCTTCATTTGAACAAATGGATGCTGATCTGAATGTTGTAAATAGGAAAAACTGTATTGTTTTCAAGTGTAGTAATCCTAAAATAAATGTTGATCATGTAACTTAGTACAGGGGAACTTCCAGAAGGCTGGATGATTTCCAGATCCAACGTTGTAAGACATTTGTTCACTTCCAGATTTGTCACTGTCCATGTGGCCTTACTACCAGAAATTTATAGAGCTTGTCAAATGTAGTTTACTCCAATACAGCATATTTTTTTTGCTAACTATCTTTGTTTATCATCTAATTGCTGCTACAAATGTACTGTTTTAAGAACAATGTTCTGAATTTCTTGTCATGCAGAACAATCAACACTGAGTTGTTTCCCCTTCGTTTAGAGAACCAAGTGTCTTTAAAGTCTTCCTTGTAATCTTTTGCTTGCCGTACTCTGAAAATAGTATTGGGTGTGGCAAGACTATTTTCACTTCCCATCTCTCTATTTGGTTTCATATGTACGCATTCAGATTGGCTTGAAGCTGCTGGAAAGGATGCAGAGCAGGAGGGTACAACACAGGAGGCCAGGATGTGACTCAGTGAATGAACAGAGACTGTATATCTACAACACCCACCATTCCTTAGGCTATTTCTTTATTCTGTTGAGGAGGATAAGATATTGTTGTTCTCACTAAAGTATTTGTCCAACAGTAAGGACAGAGTGTGGGCATTGGTGGTTTTAAGGATGATGGGGCAAATTGGAGGCAGGTGCCATCAGCAGCAGACTCTTAGAGGATTTCAGAAAGGGCTTCAAAAACACTCTTCCCTGAAGGCATTTCTGTGTCTGTGGAAGTCATCTGAGTCACTTTGCTGCCTGCCACCAGGCCTTTTCTTCTCTGCTCTGATGATTCATGTCACGTTTTCTTTTTTCTTTTACTTTTTTGTTCTTCATAATTGAGAGCTTTCCTCCCAACCAGCCATAACAGAAATACATTTAACGTTTTTCTGTTTTTTCTCTGCTCTAAAAGTTTCACCATTACACAACTTTCATTAATACAGGAAGGCCTGTTCACCTCAAATGAAGGATGTCTGGTGGAGAAGGAGGGATTTCAGGATCTCTCGTCAAATAAAAGAAGGAACTTCCCTTTTTGGCACTTTTCAATAAATCATTCAGTTTGGTCTCTGGGATAAGCTGCAGAAGTTGATCTAATGCAAGCATTAAACTTTTAACTTATTGGCCGCTCACTGGTATATGAGACAGCATGCCCGATGAACCAGAGTTTTCATCTATATAGAACTTTATTACAATTCTGGTTGGAATAACCAGAATTGTAATAAGGGGTATTTGTGTAACTGACTTGTTACACAAATGGCAAATTGTTTTAGATATTTCCAGTTTTAGACACACTGTTTCCATAGGTGGGTAGATGCAAGCATCATTTGTTAAGCAGCTATCTCCAGGCCGGCTAATTTACTAGCTTAGATGAGCTCAGTATACTTGCGTTACTCTATAAAGAGCAGAACAACAAAAATGTTTAATTTACTTCAGCAGCATGTTTAGTGAGACACTGGTGTTTCGCCAGAACTTTTGCTTAGATTTGTATTATTAATAAAATTAATAATACCATTTTATATATGTT